TAAAGCGAAAATTATACTTTTTAATTATTAAGAATTTAAAATTCTTAATTTAGTTTTTATAATTTGAAAATTATATATAAATCCTTACAATTGATAAATTTTATTTAGTCATTACAAGCCAATTTAGATTTAAGAATTGTTGGGCTTTGAATGAGGGTAACTCTCTTATTATGATTTTTTTTATAATTCACAAAATTCAAACCTTCAATTAGACCCAATAATACTTTAATCCAACTCAAAAATACTATATATCAGATAATTGATTAAAAAAAATCGAACTCTCAAGCTCACTTAAAATATATCAAATTCCTTATATTTCAGTCAATCACGTACGGTGTATTATAATGACAAATATATTGCATTGATATAAATAATTAATCATAAATATGAAAGTATAAATACAAAATTAAAAATTAGAGTAAAATTATAAATATCAAGAAGCACCATTCATCAATGTATATCAAGGTGAAAATTTAAATATAAAAAATATACTAGTGGAAAGTTACGTCGTTCTCAAATCAGAATCATTGCACCTCATCCTAAGTTTACTTGTTCTAGTTATAATAAAATAATATCATGCATGATGGAAGAATCACAATAAAATCTTGAAATAGAAATTTATGATAAGTAGGCCCCAATAAAATTTATTGAAAAATAAGATATAAATATTATTTCAGATAGATACAAATTCAGCAATTCTAATTACAAATAACATATTTAAATTTTAAATGCAACTCTCAATTTAAAAAAAATAGATACCCAAGTGTCATAAATTTTTTATTTTGATACTTTATTGTCATTCTTATATATAAATAAACAACAATAGTAGCTCATCCCCTATACCAAAGAATATTTTAATTTTACGTAAGGAAAGGACACGGCAGATGTGATATGCATCCATTAAAATAAATATTGGATTTAATATACAGATAGGTAGATAGATAGATATAAAGCATTATTTTGATTGTAAATTATTTAAAATATAAATAGTGATATAGGTGAAGTAACCTACTAGGAAAAGCACCTTTCGTAGGCAATATTAATTATTTATTAACATATTAAAACAACAGGTTACTTATTATTGGGCCATCTGCCAACTATTATATGTATGTATGTATGCATGTAAGCCTTTTTTTTTAAAAAAAAAAAATCTTTGGATAATCAAGTTCATGGACACTAATTAATATTTGTATAAGTAATAACAAGAAAAAAAATTGGGTAACTCAAGATGAGATTGATAGTAGTTGATGCTTAATACAACTTGCCATCTATAATTTATTATTACTAGTTGTCTTTTCATTTATTTAGAATTAATATATTAAAATAACATAATAAGTGGAGTCCCACACATATGAAGGAGAATAAAATTGTACACTAGTGAAGATTGCAACATTGTTAATAGGGTGTGTTACGTGATGAACAAACAAATCATAAGTGGTTGAGAATATTATATTCCTTGAGAGAATACGTAGGTACTTGTAATTAGGAAAATAATGAAAGAAACTGGATGGATCATTTGTTGACTGATTAATTATTATCTTTATAATTTTTTTATTTTTCATATTCAAATTTAAACGCAAATTCTTTGGTATAACCTAGTTTCCAAACATATTCAATGATAAAAATTATTAAGTATGAGCATCTCAAAATCAGTGTACGTGCAATTAAATGATTAGTTTGAATGAAAAGTGATAAATCTCTAAGTTTTCTAAAATACCGAGTGATATAATTAAAAAAAGAGAATACAAGAGATAGAGAGAAAGAAGATTTTAAAGTGGAACCCACATAATTTTAATATAGTTATTTGGTATACTTAGAGTTAGAATTAAATATTGTCAAGCTTAATTAAGAATTTAGCTCCCCTGATATGATTTTCTTTAATTATCATTAGACTGGAAACCAGATTACACTGATTTGTCAACTTGGCCGTATCTAATAATGTTGTGCTTCAATGGTGCTGCTTTGCAATACATTAAAGTAAAAATATAGTAAAGGGTAACCTGTAATATAAAAATTAGATATATGTTTTCATGCTTCTTAAAAAAATATCTAACGTAAGTCGTATTGTTTAAGTGCTATGAATAGTATGGTTGGTTATTGATTTATATGATGTGTTGATATATTGATGATGATGTTGTTGATAATATATTATTTGATTTTGACAAATGATATAAGAATTTATTAGAGTGAATTATTCAAACAAAAAAAAAGTAAATTATTGTTATAATATACGCATTGCGTTAGAATACAAGAAATGTGGGATTTATTACGGTTGTGCTGCATAGGAAAAAAAGACAAATATGATTTATTAAACCCATCCCATAGAGGTAGTAATTACTTAACCCCAAAAAAAAAAAAAATAGTAAGCTATCCGCTTGACCAAGCATCACATATTCTCTCTCTGTTTTTTTTTTCCTTTTTCAGGTTAATAGTAAGAAAACTGTTGGAGGCAGGGTGAAAAAGGTCAAATAAAATAATTTTAAATCCTGTAAAATAACAAAAAAAAAATATTTGATTAACAATTTATCCAAAAAGTTTGATTGTTGATAGAATACAATAATATCATGTAAATTATACAGTCAACCATATCTAGTAAAATAAGAGGGGTTGTTATTATTGTTGGCTAATATGCATATCACGTATTCATTCTATGATAGCCAGCAAGATAAAAAGACTCTCATCATTTAAGTAAATGATTAGAAATTAATCTCAAAACCCTTATGAATATAATAACTTAGTTAAATCTATCTTTTACCCTTAATATTTGGAAGGAGAGTATCTTTCCTGTTGGTGGGTCTACTCTTTCAAAAAATAACTGCAAGATTCACAAACCATCAGGACATCAACTATAACAGTATGTCTCATTCCTCAAGTTCTTCAATCCACTTGCCAGTAAAATTCATGAATCACTGAATTGTAGAAACATTATGCTTGAAGCCCAAAGTCCAGTTTTTGTTGAAGCCACTTTATATTGCCTTATGATGTGGAATGAATGAGTCCCTTATTTCTTGGAGTCAATAGAACAGGCCCAGATCCATTATCTCTCTGATTCTTAACAAGCCCAAACTCAAAAAAATGGGCCCAGATGTAAAGAAAAGGGCTTAATCTACAGCAATCTGATTTTTGAGTAGCCCAAACTGTCAGAATGGGCCTAGATGCCGACAAGAAGGGTATTTGGAGGAGGACAAGGTAAGGAAATGTAGCTTAGAAGTGTAGATTTATTTTACCATCAAACACTTGGTTGACTGAAGGAAATTATACCAGTTTAATTAGAGATATCGAATTCAAGCTCTGAAATTATAATAGCATGATGGTAAAATTTTCAAAAGATCCCGTCCAAGTTCAATTCAAATTAATTTGGACCCTCGTTAAAATCTCCTTAACTTAACATGAGATAAGTTCAAAATATTGAGTGCTCAACAAAAAAAAAAACATTTTTTTTCAATGTAGGGAACTTTTCAGATGAATAACTTAGAACACTACATTTTATTTATATCTAAACTAAATTTTGTTGTACAAAATTAAAACATAGTTCAAAAAAGAAAAAAGAAAGGAACATAAAACAAAAATTAATATTGTACTTAGGAAATTTAAGAAAATGTTAATTTTAAATTGAAAGTCATAAAATTAATTTTTAAATCGAAACATCTAAATTAAATCAAAACAGTTCTGATTAATTAATTGATCAAAGAGTCTTACTAAGTACTCTGTTCTCCATCTGATCAATGTTCATACTTTCTCCCTTGAAGCTACATTTTGTGGAGCATGCTGCAATGGAAGATCAATGCTATGCTTGAATTCTGTTTCTTTGTCATTTTCATTATAAAGTTCATTTCATTAAGGCATCAGGCATGGGCATCATAAATTTGCCCACACAATTCAGGCAGGGACATGAAACAAAAATGCTTCAAGGTGAATTTTAAGGTTTAACTCTATCAGGGGATAGTACTTATAAAACCTAAACAAATACTCTAAGATAGAGTTTGGATTGATGGATTTAAAAGTTTCATTTCAAACCTTGCATTTAGAATCCATATATTTAAAATATTTTGTTTGAATAGTTTAAAATATTTTAAATAAAAAGGATAAATGAATTGAAATTAGAAACAAATAGAAAATTGAGAATAATAAGTCTATTTTTTTAATTAAAGAGAAAAAATAGTCATAAAGATATCAAAATGAAAACACAAAGAGAACGGAATATTGAAGTGATTAAAATTTTAAATAACTAAAGTATATAAAAAATTTAAAATTACAAAGGGCTTGTAATAAGAAATGAATTTAAATTTGAATCAAATCTAAATTCATATAGTTTTATGTGTCCAAATGAGAGATTTCAACCAAATCCATACTAATCCAAACACAACATAAAGAATGTTGTGAAATACACTGAGATCATCAAACATATCAAATATAAAATGAGTTTAAATCCTCTAACCTTCCCCATCATTTCTCTTAATTATAGATATTTGCTTGTTTGTTTTGTTGCAGGGGAGGGTCAAAGAGTGGAAGTTCTAATAAAAGTAACTAGAAGAATGATAATTAAGTCCCAAAATATTAAATTAATAACAGTTAAATATTCAATAATTTTTTTTAAAAAAATAAGTTAAGAATATCAATTTAGATTATTACAAATTTAAGAGTTTCAATTGCAAATAAATATTTAAGTATCAAATATAATTTTTAAATTGTAACAAAAATTTTGTTTATAACTATTTAAATTGATATTTATAATTTGCTTTGTAGAAAATTTTGTTGAGTACTTTATTATCATTAATTCATTGCTTTAGGATCTAACAGTCATTCTCCCCAAATAATTATCATACTCGTTAAATTTACGTCGTCACCAAATTGTATAGAAAACTAATTTCAGACAGGAAAAAATTGTATTTACATTATTTACGAAATGCCATAACAAGAAAGAATCACTCCCCAGTTGTTTATTTACAACAAATATCACTGACAAGAGGGAGTCAAATCAAGGGGAAAAAAACAGAGAATCAAATCAAATGCCAATCATCAACTAAAATCCCCGTTTTAATTTACAAAAGAGAATTGAGTCAACTCACTGTAATTTTAATTTATGCGAGCTAGTACTGGTAGCCACTGATGTTATATCACCTGAGAATATCAAGTAACATCATATAAAGTAAGTTTCGAGTGGTACCACATGCTAAAAAAAATGCTCAAGCTTAGAGCATACCATAAAATATCAACAAAATGCTAGACTTTAAAACATGGTGTCTCATGCTAACAAAGATGCTCAGAACACAGTTCAAAAATAATACCACGATCACTGTTCGGGAGGATGTATTTGAGGAACCAAAGACCATTTCCATGATCACAGCCTTGCGTGCTTCGGCTGGACACTGAACAACTGTTGTAAGTTTGTTTTGGTCATTCATGAGAAAACAGTAAATCTCCGGCAGCTAGTCGATGTCACATTCACATTCCCGGATCAATTTCCAAGCTTCTTCCCCTGAAATTTGTGGCAGCTTGTAGCTATAGCTCTCTCTTAGGATAGTTTCCTTAGTGCGTTTGCAATCTCAGATATTCCCTCTATGACTATTTTGCTAAATTCAGTGTCTTTCTTTGAGTGCTTCATTCTTCTCTTGGAGCCCCTCATACTGTGACTTATTTTTCTCTTACAGGACATCCGAATGAAATAGTAATGGACAACACACATGAGCAAAGCTATAGCCTTTTGGCGCAAATCCACCATTGCCTCACCAATAATAAGTATTGGAATTCCATCTACCAAAGGACCTGAGCATTTAGAAAAGAAAAAGGATAATCAGAAAAATGCACAAGCAGACATGATAATAACCATGCTTTCTAACTTGGGAAAATATCAATGAAAGATCCCTGAAAGAATTTAATACTGACAAGGGTTCGAATGGATTAGATATTTGTTAAAACGTGACTACAAGTCCTAGTCAGATATTAAATTCTTCCTAGGGTTATTCAATGATTACCCTCCCAACTTCCTCTATCAACAACATGCATATTTTGAGTCAACAAAGTCAATTTAAATTTATTATTTCCCCCTTCCGTATAATAATACCATGCATTTTGCAAATCCAGAAATAGATTTTAACAGGTTATGGCGCATGCTTGCACAGAAAAAGTACGTAAACAACATAAAAAAGTATAGTAACAAGTCCCTCCAGAGGCGCTCTCACATTTTTAGAACACAATAGCCAAGTCACTCTAAATATTAACCTATTCAAATAACAAATGACCTGCTCTTGCAAAATGTAATAAGCCAATAATTAAGCAGCCAAATTTAACAAGGCAAACAGATCGTATAGATTATTTTCTGCAGTTAGTGCATTCTATAAGAATAGTTTCAGGCTTTTCAACATTTTCAAGTGACATTAATAACTTTTAACTGGCATGTTTATGATTTTAAAGGGTTTAAGACCCCATAACTATGCACCTAGCATAAACATAAACTTGCCAAGACTGATCATGCCCCAAATTGAAAGCAAATACTCAAATCATCAAATATAATCCCATGCTTAAAGCTCAACTTTAAGAAACCAATCCCCAGGGAGTCTCCACGTGCTCAAGTGACTTGTTCCCCATATTCACTGAAAGATCAAAGTTTGAAGGTCTTAGGCCCTTAGCACCAAGTTGGAATGATCAACATCTACTCTCCAACATTTAACCAAATCAGAGATCTGTTCTAACTGTTATTACAAAGGTTTGGTTGTTGAAAGAACGCAACAGCATTGTGCAATTCATGTAAGTGACCCCATCTAGTAGAATAAACCTCGTTGTTGCAATTGGGTTCTGATTTTATTGTTTTGCCATTTGTTAGATAATATACTCCTAGGATCAAGGGAATTAAGTAGAATCTCTGTAAACTGCTTGGCCCTTAAATCCTAGGTTATTTTGACATCTGAATAAATGAATAATCTGAGCAATGTACTCTGAAAATCATGTGCGTGCACGTTGTGTGTCTCTGTGTCAAGTAAGCCCCAATACAAACTATGAAGTAGATGGGATGCTTTCATTGCAGATATTTTCTCGAAAAACAAAGTATTTTTTTCATCAAGTTTCATGCAAAGCCTCGCACACTTTGAGTTTAGTTATCCCTTATCTCAAACTAAACTCTAGCCTATCAAATTTTATTACATATCTTCTGCTTTCAAAATGAAGCAGTTCTGTTTCAGCATTCCTATTAAAGGAGAAGGAGGCCACCATCATTTGCATTCCTTATAATTTAGTATAACTAAGTTTTAGCTTCAATCATGAATTTAAATAGCAAATGCATGTCACATTACAAGATTCCTACCCTCTATATATATATTATATATATATTTTTTTTGGGTGACAAAAATGAATATCTATCTAATGAGAAATAAAATTGGATAATAATAATTAACACAACACTAGACTTTTCAATTCAATCATTCAAATTGGGAGATACTCTTTTGTCATTATGTTGTAGCATTAAAAATAATCTCTAACAAATGTACTGGGCTATAACAACAAACCAAACAGGAAAGTAAAATGCTTAATCTCATTCAAGCAAGTGAAAATATTGTTTTCCCAACATAAGGATGATTTAAGCGACAAATCAATTACTTTACACCTATAAGCTGTGTTAGCACACGGACTCACATCCATTATCTATATGTGAATCGCTAAAGATATAGCAAAATCTCATATCATTAAAGTATCATTTGAACTATGAAGCTGAATGTCTTTAAATGTTTGCAGAAAAATGACTTCATAAGGTAAGAGAATTCATTAGAGGAGTAAAGATGTAATCAGCTTCTCGAGAGAATATTATTTAAAAAATGCCCAAGACTTTAAAGCACAGAATCCACAGACCAAGCATTATTTTTGCTTCTTCACTTTACCATTTGTCTTAAATGTTTTGAAAGTAACGGATAAGAGAGATTTTAAGGATAAATAAGATTTAAGAGGTAATTGAAGGCGGTAGTTATCAAGCGTAATAATGAAGTAGCTGAGATAGCTAGCTCCATAAGTAACTATTCCAACCAAACTTACAAAGACAGAACATAAAAACACAGGTTGTTATAATTACGAGCTTCTCATCTGTTGCTAAATGTAGCGCTTTATTGTCATATTCTCGTGGAAACAGTAATTACGTCAATGTAACTTAGGAATAGATTGCCCTATTTGAGAGGCTATTTTTTCCCCAAAAAAAAAAAAACGGCAATCTAGAAGAGCAGGGTCATAGGAGTTCATTAAACCCTTGTCGGTCCAATAATACTTATAGAGACTGCTAACAAAATCCTTACATCAATGGCAAGGTTCAAACCCCCACACTAATGTGATAAGAGTCGTATTTCTGTCAATTGAACCAAATTTTTTTGGCCAAGAGAGCATAGATTTATTCTAACAAGTGGTGGTGGAAATCACTTTATATGGAAATGGAATTATCTTTTTCCATTATATATATTCTTGGCCAATTTTGATGCAGAGTCATAATTCATGAAGTATTTTAACATTGTCTCGAAGCTTCCGTTGTAACTTCAAAATAACAATCACAATCTAGCATAGATACAAAATTCCACATCCCAAAGACACTGTAATAGATATAACAAAATATGTATTAAAAAAAATCATAAGCGATTTGAAGTGTGCGACAATTTGAAGAATCGATGCTTCGTATAATTCACAATAAATCCTAAAAAAATAGCATCTGAGATGTTCGCGTGAAATTACAAATATACCAGCATTTATTCCAAACAAAATTCTCAGCCCGTAATGTCAAGTTACCACATGAGGAAAAGTATCGGATCCGAAATGGCGAAAATGCCAGATAAAGGATAAGAATCTATCCATAGCCAGAGGAAAAGAGACGAAGGCAAGATTTTAAGTTTCAGGAAATGGAATCCCATATCTTTACATGTACCATATAATGAAAACCAGAACAGAGAACTTTCAGTGACAAACCTTGTGGTTGCTCTTGCGCGATTGATCTCGTCGAGATTCAGCCCAAGTTTACAGCACTTGGATGATGCTATGTGTATCAATAGGGTTCAAGTAAAGTTTCCGATTTCCCGGGCAAATTGGCAATGGCGGGCTACCCTTGTTTGGAAGATTTTTTTAGGATGAAATGGGATGGTTGAAAGATTTAAACTATTGTTTGTTAAAAAAAATTTTTTTTTTTAAGGGTGAGTGGAAAATAATAACTTTTAAAACCCTCTTTTACCATTTACAATTCAATTTTTTTAACACTCAAATTGAGACGATTAAATATAAAATAACATAATATAATTATTTTATTTATAAAATCACTCATAACCTCCACCTAAAATAAAAAAAAATTCTTATCTATTATTATTTTTATTCTCCATCCATCTCTCCTCTGCCTATCTTTCTCATTCCTAGCATCTCCCTCTCCCCCCTCTCAAGTCTCAACCTTATGACTCTATTATGTTTTTTTTTTTTTGTGCAACAAGCATATTTGTTTGAGTAACTCTATTATTTACTCTTTCTTTTTATTTTTAATTCTCCAATACCTTGCTTTGCTTATTAATTTCAATTATTATTTTTTTTGAAAAGTATTATAATTATTTAATGGGCATGATTATTTTTTTAAATTTGTCATATGGATAATATTAGAAAAAATTTTAATCCATTTCATTCCATCCATTTTGTTATAATTTTCAAATAATGGTCATGTAAGATTATTTCTTCCCCCATAAAACTCTCAAACAATAAAAAATTTTGTTCTATCACACTCTACCCTACTCCATTTCATTAAATAATTAATTCTTTTCATTTTATCATAAAGTCCCAGACGTTTTCTTAATTATCAAGCAAAGTTAACTAACTTTTATTTTTTGGTTATTGTTCACAGATGTTTTGAGTCCAACGCCTCTAATTGAAAAGTAAGAACACAGTCATTATTAAAACTTGATAAACCATGATTTTATCATAATTAATGTTTCTAAATTGTATTTAGAACCCTTAAAAAATATTAATTTTTTAATATAACCGCAAGACACGTCTCTTATTATATTATTTTATTTCCCAATTCGGACCATTGTTCTATTTGTGGGTCTCATGCTCTTGCAAAGTCAAATTAATCTTGTTCATGTCGTTGATGAGTTGAAGCCCCTGAAGGGACTCATTGTAGTCTACCGGCTCACGGCATTACTACAAGTTCGATGCTTTAATAGTCAGTCCAATCGAATAGTTTAATGAAAGTAGTAAAAAGAAAAAGCCGAGCAAGAAGAAAGAGCAGGGAAAGTAAAATAATTACTTAAGCGACAGTTTCACACTTGAAATAATATTTTTAAAATTATCTCAGATTCTAAATTTTTTTTGAATGTAATGTTCCCATTCAATAATTAAAAATAATATAATATTACTCTTATTATTAATAATAAATAATTTTAATTGTTAATTAATTAAAAAATATATTTAAAATTACGTAAAACAACTAAAAAATCTACAAATAAGAAACTAAATATTAATTAAGTTCTCTAAATTAGAAATAAATAGCAAGAAACAAATGTTATTTATTTTCATGTAAAAGATTTAAATATAATTTTCAATCATTATTTTAACTAGTCACGTTACCTACAATTATTTGATCATCATTAGTTGCAACAAATAAATAATAATAATATGTTAAATTATAATAAATTCATTTTTTTACTTTTTACTTGCTCACAAGAATCTTTTGATTATAAACAATTATATTTGACATATAATTAAGTAGTAATTGTGAACACATATAAAGCCCATGAATTTATGTTAATCATTTGTTGTTTGGATTTTTTTTTTCCTTCAACTGTTTCCCAAAAAAAAAAAAAAACAGAGCGACACATGTAACGAAAGGGTCAACAAAGAAGAAGACAGATTCCGGGGGCCAAAAAAAGATTGAGCCAAAGTTTTCAAAACCCAACAGGTTACAGAGCAGAGAAAAGGATGGCTCCAACACGAGAGAGATAGGGAAAGCGAAAGCCGAGAGAGAGAGAGAGAAATAAGGAGAATTACAAATACTTCCTCAGTCCATCTTCTAAAAGCTTATTTTACCTTTAAATATAAAGATGGTAATAATATTTTTAAATAATTAAACTATTTTTTTTATTTAAAAATAAAATAAATTATTAATTATATATTTTATCTATTATTATTATGATATTATTAAAAATAAAATTAAAAAATTATTGTATTTTTATGTAAATTTAATTAAATAACAAACCTTTATATATGTAAGATTTAATTAAAAACATTATATATAGAGACAGAATGAATAAGTCTCAAGAGAATTAATTAATTTAAATCAGATATCAAATGTTAAAATTTAGGAATTTATAATTTTATTTTTTAATCTTACAATTTCGTCATGATGATTTTATAACTTATTTTTTAAATCTTAACATGATTAAAAAATAAATTTTTATTAAAATTTAAAACAAAAGTTATAAATTTATTATACGTAATTATAAAATTAAAAATTAAATTTATATATTTTTAAAGTTTCACACGTCAAACTTAATGTAAATTAGCAGCTTCTTGTCATTCTCTTAAAAAAAAGAAAAAAAAAAAAAAAGTTCCACGACTCTCCCCCCCCCCCCCTCTCTCCCTCCCCCACACAAACCCAATATTGCAGCTGTCAGCAGCCCATTCCCTCACTCTCACTTCCTCCCCATCCCCACTTCTTCATTTATATATATCCCCACTCCCTCCCCTTCTCCTTCATTCCATTACCACCACCACGGTCGCCGCCGCCGACCTAACACCATGATGCTGTCTCTTAGATTTCTTTTATTACTTGGCATGATGCTCAATTATATGTGTCTTCTTGTTACTGCATATATGTTAGATGCAGGTGGTTGTTTCAATATAGAGTGTCAGACTTTGAATACTAAAGCTCAGTATTCAAAGTTCAACCCTAAGCTTCCTCCACCAGCGCTCTTTTCCTCAAAGCGCTACGAGGGCTCCTCCGACCTCGTCCGCCTCCGGTACCACATGGGTCCGGTTCTCTCCTCTCCGATTAACGTTTACCTGATCTGGTACGGCAAATGGGCTCAGCCTCAGAAGCTTCTCATTAAAGATTTTCTTCTTTCTATCTCTACTCCTAACGCGCCGTCGCCTTCCGTCGCTGACTGGTGGCGCACTGTGTCGCTGTACACTGACCAGACTGGGGCCAATATCTCTCGGACGCTCACCATTGCTGGGGAGTACTCCGATCTGAAGTACTCCCATGGGAATCAGCTCACGCGGCTGTCTGTTCAGCAAGTTATCGCCTCTGCCGTCCGATCTGCTCCGTTCCCCGTCGATCACCGGAAGGGGATCTACCTTGTTTTAACTTCGCAGGATGTGATGATGCAGGATTTCTGCCGCGCCGTTTGTGGATTCCATTACTTCACTTTCCCGTCCGTGGTGGGATACACTCTTCCCTATGCTTGGGTTGGGAATTCCGGCAAGCAGTGCCCGGAGGTTTGCGCGTACCCCTTCGCGATCCCTGGGTACATGGCCGGCGGAGGACCTGGAGCTTTGACGCCGCCGAACAGTGATGTCGGCGTTGACGGGATGGTCAGCGTGATTGGGCATGAATTGGCTGAGCTTTCATCAAATCCGTTGGTGAATGCGTGGTACGCCGGCGAGGACCCGACTGCTCCGACGGAGATCGGGGATTTGTGCGAGGGGTTGTACGGTACCGGAGGTGGTGGAGGGTACATTGGGCAAGTAACGAAGGACGGGAAGGGAAGAACGTTCAATTTGAACGGAAGAAACGGAAGGAAGTTCTTGGTGCAATGGATATGGAGTCCAGTGTTGAAAGCTTGTGCTGGTCCTAATGCCATGGACTAGATTTAAATTTCTCGTTCGCTGCTGTACTTTTTTTTCTTTTTTTTTTATTTTTAGATTTTCATGTGGTTGATTTGTCAAGTCTCAGTTCTCGTGAGATTATGTATCAGTGGCGACGGCGGAGGAGGGGACGGAGATGGCGGCGATGGCCGTGGGAGGGGACGAGCGGTGGTGAGTAACAGTGAGAGTGGAAAAGCAGTAATACAGATAGATATTTTTTTTTACTGTTGTAGCCTTATGGATAATATGATGTAATGATATTTATTTTATTTTTTTTTAACTTTTTCTTGATCGACTTGTTATTTTGTCTTTGCTCGGGGGAAGGCTTGACCTTGAGCTAATTTGCTGAAAACTTTTAAATATTTTAATTAACCATGAAAATACTATTAGGTTGGGGTCTCATAAAAACAAAAAAAATAGTTCAGACATTTTAGATAAAATTATAGTATCTTGTTAAATATACTTTATAATTATATTTTTTAAAGAATGCAAATCTAAATTTTTTAAAGTATCATTCATTTCATAATCTAGGGAAAATACAATAAGAAAAAAAAAGATAATGTTGAAAAAAATATATTTAATGAAATTTTATTTTTATTAAATTATTTTATATTTTGATATACTGAATCACTTGTAAGATTATCTTATTGAGATGGGGGGAGTGGTATGTAAAGTATTGGGTAAATATATATCTTTTGTTAATGCAATAATTGATATACGTAAGAAAATCGATAATGTGTGATTGTATTTATAAATTATAAGTAACATATGTAATTAATAATCAAACTTTGTATATAAATATAGAGGAACAAAGCATCAAAAGAGTTTACTCTGATTCTACTAAAGTCTTATCAAATATCACCACAATCCCAATCACCCCTTCAACTAAGTTATAAGCAAAATAAGAGCCCTCATCATAAGAGATTAGGTCATCAATTTCAATTATATATTTAAAGAATCTAATAATTGTGCAAATTGATTGGTTTATTAAATTTTGAATAACAACACACACATCTCAATCTTTGAAAATCCTTTGCATGAATGTCACTCTTATGTGTTTTGATCTGACTTAACCGTTATTCATGATCTTGTATTAAAAAAAAGTATCAAAAAAATTTGGAAAGAAAAACAATGGAATCAAATTGTCATTCAATTTCATCAAGTGTAACTAAAGTTAAGTATAAATTTATTTTTGTTGACCTAAAATATTTGTAAGACTGTTTAATGGCAAACAAAGCTCTTGAAATGATGGTTTTATTTTTAAGGTTATATATTATTTATAAATTAAATGATGATGATTGTGAAGATTTTTTTTTTTTTAGGGTAAGACTTATGTAGTTAATCTTATATATTTAATATATTTATAACTAATCAAATGATGAAAAAGTAAATCTTAATATGTTAATTAAATTAAAAATAAAAATTTATTATAAAATAAATAATATATAAAAAACAACGTGTTTTAATTTAATTAAAAATAAACATATTATGTAAATAAGTTTTTTCTTTTTATTCAAAACGACCTCAATTTACCAATGATATTATCATATTTGACATTATTATTTTATGTAACATTTAATAAACGTACCACTAAAACAAATAAACTACCAACTTTCCAAGATTACAATCTATTTTCTATTTTGAGAAAAATAACAAATATTACTTCAAAAAAAAAATATTTCACAACAAACCGCACAAACTTTTAAAGCTCGTTCGATTTGACATGATAGAGATCTAGTTAGAAGACCAGTGAGAAATGTGCTAGTTTCATCTCCCACTTCAGATTTGAGCCAACTACATAAAGTGCTGTTTTGTAGTATGAAACCAAGAACAAAGAAGTGAGAGTGAACATAAAAATACAAAGTATATTTGATACAATGGATATCACTTCTTTAAACAAACTGATTTTATCAAGATTGATAAAACTAATATGGAAGAACGGTATTTAAAGACCATTCAAATGGATTATTTATAAATAAGAATTAACAATACATTTTATTTAAGAAAAAAATAAATTATATTTTTATTTTAATAACAATACATTTTATATTAGTTATTGTTCGTAAATAATTTTTTCAAATAGTGCTTCAATGTGATTATTCCAACTAACATTTTTGCTTTCATATATATGGAACCTATTTTTTCCCTACTTCCTTCCTAAAAAATGACTCACTTTTGCATGCATACTAAACATTTTTTAAAACCCAATTTTCACCTTGTTTTTTTTTTCATTTTCATCAAAAACTCTTCTACATTATCAAACGTTGTTCGAAAAAGATTTATCAAGTTCAACATGATCAAAATTTAACAAGACTTCCTGGTATTTTATAATTTGATACATGCATATAAATCTTTTGATTATGTTTACAGATAAGTTTCAACATGTTTCATTTGAATAAAATAAAAACTTAAAATTTATTATTTTTTTTAAAAAATTTCATAAATTTTTAACTTCATTCCTATCAAATATACATATTTTAGTAATGCACTTTCTCTCACAACTTCACTAATATTTGATAGGGTCTGGTAAAAGAAAAAATTTATAATAAAAATTAATAACATATTTTATAAATATGATAAAAAAAATTGTTCTCTCTCTACTTTATAAGCATCAAACGATCTTTCTATATGTAAATGTGTGTGGTGATCTTTCTAGCCCAAAACAAATGGTAGTTGAGAAAAATATCTGGCAAATTTTTGTGCATGTTTGTTTGGTATGTGAAAAGTTGTATTCTTATCAACGATTAGCTGTTAGCATCATCTGTCTCACTTGAATGATATTCTAGATTCAAACCAGACATTGATATATTTGAATGTATGCTTGGATGTGTATCTCTCATTTTAATGGGAAATGACTAGGAGTAAGAATAAAGAGTTGCTTTCTTTATTAATTTTGTCAAGGAGTTGGTAAAAAAAATTAATTTCGTCTAAGAAAGTCAGTCTCTCTTTGATTTCACTGTACCTTTCAATTCATTTGCTTGCCCCCCACACACTTCAACTACTCTTTGGTAAAAATTGTACATTTTACTTGTGAAAAAATAAAATAAATTTTGGTCCCCATTTTTATGTTTTCATTTGCAGCCTAGTCCTCCATTGGTCAATTCCCGAATCTGTCATTGGTCCCGACCCATCGACCGCATCTTCCCTCTTCCGTAATTTTTGGAGCGTGGGCATTTCTGTCTTCTGTCCTTTTATTTTCAGTTTTCCCTCAATTTCTATATTTTTAAGGCCAAGTATCTTCTCCTTTTGCTAAATATTGTTTAATATTTATCGTCCACATATCCAACATTGTATTTTTATGCTTCCTATGTTTTTTTAAACAGAGTATAGGTATGAGCAAGCTATATAAGTATATAAAATTTGAAGTCAGTTGCATTATTATTCATGCTTAAAAAATACTCCTTAATTCAAAAGTATTAGGTATTTTTAATTGAATTTCATCATTTAATAAAGTAATTACTTATCTTTGAACTAATACTATCTTTTCATATTTATCCTTATTTAATGAGGTGTTTTAGTCTGAAATAAATATAAAGTAATTTATTTATTAAGAAACTTTAAGAAAAAGGTAATAATTACAAATTTAAAAAAATAAAAATCTCTTATATTTTTAACATTAAACCCCTTAAAAATATCTTATATTTTTTAACAAAAAGATTATTGTATCTTTCTATGTTTTCAATTATATACTTTCCCAATCTCTTAATACAATATCTATTTTTCAAGTTTATGGACACCAAAGAAGTCATTAGGTGAGACTTACTCCCTTTGTTAAAAAATGTAAGGCATTTTTTGAGGAGTTGAATGTTAAAAAATATAAGGCATTTTTAATCTTTTGAGGTGTAATAATTATTGTCTTTTTCAAAAGTACCCCTATTAATAATGACTTTATATTTATTATAGGGTGTTTAATAAGGATAAATATGAAAAAATATAGTTAGTTTGAAAGTAGATCATTACTTTATTGAAGAGTGAGATTCAATTAAAAATGTTTTATATTTTTTAATGGAGAGAATATATACTTAGATATATATATATATATATATATTTAGTATACAAATATCAAATCAAATAACAACAAATAAATCTTAATATGTTAATAAAATTAATAAGAAGAATTTATTGTAAGATAAATAATTTATAAAACATCTAGATTCATTTAAAAACAAGGATGTTAAGTATATAACGCAAGGTATATAAGTTTTTCCCAAAGTCATTTATGTTTTTTTCTTTTCTAAATCCAACTCTAATTAAATATTAATTAATGGTATATTTGAGAAAACGGTATAATACTTTCTAGAATTAAAAAGGATAATATTATTTTTAAAATTGGGTAAAAAGGATGGAGGAAGCAAGTCTTATATGACCTCATTTTAAAATTTACGGATATCAGTAAAGTTATTGATTATTGAAGTGGGTTGATATCCTTTTTTGTTTGTTTCTTTTCAATTTTATTATTAATTAAATGTAATAATCAGCATGATTCCAAACATGCTTTGATTATTTGGCCAAGAAAAAAACACTCTTTGATTATGGTTTAATAATTCATTATGGGTGTATCTGGAAATATCTTGTGATACTTCCTAGAATTGGGAAAAATGTTTATTGAAAAAATACACTGGATTGAGGGAGTAATATATATATATATGTATATATAAAAGTGTTAACCTGTTTATAATATTAATATAAAAAAAGTTCCTTACAGAATAAATAGTGTGTGTATATAAGATCCATACATTTAATTAAAAAAAAGTATCTTAAATATTTAAGCATTAGTATGTAACTTTTTTCCCTATTTTTTATTTAGAATAATGTTGATTGACTCTTGGACGTGTATCAAAGATAACTTAATTTTTCTTCCTTTGCAAACTAAGGAACACAAGTTGACTCCTTTCCATTGTTTAAATGTTAGGGAATGGGCAGTGAGTGTGGTGTATGAATATGATTAACAATTTCACCTTTTCACAACAGTTTACGTGCTCGTAAGACTAACAATCCTCACTCACATTTGAAGGATTTTCAAAATATTGGCCTTTAAATAAATTTTTTAAGTCATTAATCCCCAATCAATCAAATTAATAATAATAATTGGTAGTTCATATCATCCTTAAAATTAGAAAATCCTTCTTCTAATTTTCCAGATAAAATAATATATATTAATATCAACCAAACACGCTTCTAAAAATATATATATCAAATCCAACCGCGCCTTTAATGTATGTGTATTGTGTATGATATGATATGATATATATGATACAATAATTTTGATAAGTAGTTATT